CCTCCCGCCTCCGTGGCAGTCAGACATCCCTGGAGTGCTCCTGGACTACAAGAGGGTGCAGACCAGGCTGAGGGACGCCCCCAAATGCATGGATTTTGTGCATCGGCCTCTAGTTGTTGAATAAATACCAACAGCATTTACCTCTTTCCAACTTAATAATGACTCAGTAGTGTGCAGGGATGTAAATCTTTTCTTTTTCAGAGATGTAAATCTTGATATCTACATTCTTATTGTTCATGCAGTCTGATCTAAGACCTGGTTTGTTTGACCTATTGCTGCTTTCATACGACTGAGTTCCTTATAGGCACAGGGTAAAAGAAATACATTTAACCAGTGAGTTCTGTAGTTAGAGATGTGACCACAAGATGACAGTGCACCTCTGCTGATGCTGAATATGTGGGGGGGTTCATTTCAGTGGATTCTGAGTAAATAGGCTATGGCAGAAGCAGAGCCTTTTTCTTATTGGCTGGGTAGACAATGTGAGAAACCATTATGATTGTCAGAGAAAAGAAGGGGCAGCCTGATAACAGAAGCAGTTCTGTTGGCTGAAGATTGCAAGTCTATAATTGGTCTCAATTAGGAGGAACAATGAAGTCATCCATTGGAGCTTTATTTATGTTCTTGTGGCTGCAGCTGAACTGTGAGTTGAGGGATTTGGGGAGAGTATATTAGTGAACATTTCTTTGAAGCCAAGGAATAAACAGGCTTTATTCAGGGTTCCCCTAGTTACTATAGAAAAGGAAAAGTAAATTCTGGACTGTAATTATCAGGCAAAACTTCTTTTTTTCTCTGACTCTTTCTGCATAGGGGTCAGCCACGGAGAGAAAGTGGATCAGCATCCTTCTACCCTGAGTGTCCAGGAGGGAAACACCGCTGTTATCAACTGTTCTTATTCCGACAGTGCCTCAAGTTACTTTCCTTGGTATAAACAAGAACCTGGAAAAGGTCCCCAGTTCATTATAGACATTCGTTCAACTAAGGACAAAAACCAAGCTGGAAGACTCACTGTTTTCATGAATAAGGCGGCCAAACATCTCTCCCTGCACATCGCAGCCACCCAAACTGGAGACTCCGCAGTCTACTTCTGTGCAGCGAGTACACATTGCTTCCCAGGCACCTGCATCCTGTACACAAACCTGCGAGTGGGGCAGCCCCCTCTGCCTGGGAGAGACCTGCAAGCATAGCATTTGTGAAATTGTCTGCAAGTGGAAATTAATGTGTTGTATGTTCAAAACACATAATAGGAAGGTTAGTTCAAGATGACCCAGTAAGTGTTAGAACATTTTGTTGGAAGACTGTTCCTTAGTGGATTTTTCATTTTGGAATGTAAAGCTCTTATTTTATTTATTTTTTAAAAAATATATTTTTATTTATTTCAGAGAGGAAGAGAGAGGGAGAGATAGAAACATCAATGATAAGAGAGAATGATTGGTGGGCTGCCTCCTGCAGGCCCCCGATGGGGATTGAGCCTGCAACCAGGCATGTGCCTGTCCAGGAATCAAACTGTGACCTCCTGGCTCATAGATTGATGCTCAAGCATTGAGCCACACCAGCTGGGCTATGTTATTTCAAAATATTTTTGGTTAATCCTTCCTTGAGGATTAGTTTTTCCACTGCTTTTTTATTTTTAATTCTAAACTTTTCTTTTTTATTTCAAGAAAAATGATTTTAAATATAATAATGTTACATGCAATAAACATTAATATTTAAAGAAAAGCAATCTTAAATATAATAATGTTACATGCAATAAGCATTAATATCTCCAGAAAAATGATTTTAAACATAATAATGTTACATCAATAACACCAATTATTTAAGAAAAATGATCTTAAATATAATACTACTAGAGGCTCAGTGCACGAAATTCATGAGGGTGGGGGGGGTCCCCTCAGCCTAGCCTGCACCCTCTCCTATCCGGGACCCCTTGGGGATGTCTAACGCCGGGATGGGGCCTAAACTTGCACTCAGACATACCTCTCACAATCCTAGACTGCTGGCTCCTAATCACTCACCTGCCTGATCCTAGACTGCTGACTCCTAATCGCTCACCTGCCTGCCTGCCTGGTCGCCCCCAACTGTCCCCCCTCTCCCGCCAGCCTAGTCACCTCTCACTGCCCTCTCTGCCAGCCTAATTGCCCCAACTACCCCCCTTACTGGCCTGGTCACCCCTAACTGCCCCCCTCGTCGGCCTGGTTGTTCCCAACTGCCTCCCCTGCCTGCACCCTCTCCTATCCGGGACCCCTTGGGGATGTCTAACGCCGGGATGGGGCCTAAACTTGCACTCAGACATATAATATTTAAAGAAAAGCAATCTTAAATATAATAATGTTACATGCAATAAACATTAATATCTCCAGAAAAATGATTTTAAACATAATAATGTTACATCAATAACACCAATTATTTAAGAAAAACGATCTTAAATATAAAACTACTAGAGGCTCAGTGCACGAAATTCATGTGGGGTGGGGGTCCCCTCAGCCTAGCCTGCACCCTCTCCTATCCGGGACCCCTCGGGGGATGTCTGACTGCGGGGATGGGGCCTAAACTTGCACTCGGACATACCTCTCACAATCCTAGCCTGCTGGCTCCTAATCGCTCCCCTGCCTGCCTGCCTGGTCGCCCCCAACTGTCCCCCCTCTCCCGCCAGCCTAGTCACCTCTCACTGCCCTCTCTGCCAGCCTAATTGCCCCAACTGCCCCCCTCGTTGGCCTGGTTGTTCCCAACTGCCTCCCCGGCTGGCCTTGTTGCCCCTCGTGCCCCCTCCTGCCGTCCTGGTCACCCCACCCAGTTTGCTGTTCAGTTGTTTGGTCCTCCCTCACTAACCCTCCTGCTGGCCTGGTTGTAGGCAGCCATCTTGTGAGGCCATGAGGGTTCATTTGCATATTACCTCTTTATTATATAGGATTACATGCAATGAACATTAATAATTCAAGAAAAAAAGGATTTTAAGCATAATAATATTACCAAAACTGTACTATCATACTAGTAGTATGATATCACAAAAGTTGTAGGAAATATTAAAATCTGCTAAGTAACAGGATTACTTCTATTATATTTAAAAATATTTTTTCCCTCTGGCTCTTTTTTTGCTCATTAGTTAATGTTGTTTACTATATTCCACAAGTGAGTGAGATCATGTGATATTTATCTTTCTCTGACTGGCTTATTTCGCTTAGCACAATGCTCTCCAGGTTCATCCATGCTGTTGCAAAGGGTAAGAGTTCCTTCTTTTTTACTGCAGCATAGCATTCCATTGTGTAGATGTACCACAGTTTCATTGCTTTTTAGAAAGCGTGGAAGGGAGGAAGGAAAGGAGGGAAAGGAGAAGAAGAGAGACAGAGAGAAACAGAGAGAAAGACATAATGTGAGAGAGACACATCTATTGGTTGCCTCCTGCACGTTCTTGGACAGGGGCGGGAAACGAACCTGCAACCAAGGTATGTGCCTTTGACTGGAAAAAACCCTCGACCCTTTGGTGCACAGACATTTTGATAGGGACAGAGAGTCAGAAACATCTATGAGAGAGAAACATCGAACAGCTGCCTCTTGCATACCCCTTACTGGGGATGTACCTGCAACCAAGGTACATGCCTTTGACTGGAAAAATCCCTCGACCCTTTGGTGCACAGGCAGATGCTCTAGTCACTGAGCAACACTGGCCAGGGCTGTAATGCTCTTTTAAATGAAAGTATAGTTGATATAGAATATTATATTAATTTCAGGTGAACAATATAGTGGTCTGAGATTTATATACCTTACTAGAAAAGTCTAGTACCATCTGTCACTGTACAAAGTCATTTAAATATTAGTGGCAGTATTTTCTATACTGTACATTACATCCCTATGACTTCTTTATGTAAACTATAAGTTTGTGCCTCTTAATTCCTTTTGCTTTCCAACACCATATATTGAAGACTTTTCCCCATTGCCTCATTTGTCACCAATTTAATTGATTACATAAACATGGGATCATTTCTGGGTTCTTCTTTCTGTTCTATTGATCAACTTGTTTTTGGTCAGTACCATACTGTTTTTGTGATAGTACCATACTGTTCTGTGCTAGCACCATACTGTTTTCATTACTATAGCTTTGTAGTATAATTTTACATTAGTGAGTGCAGGGTCTCCAACTTCAATTTCATTTACTTCTGCTCTTGTCTTAATTATTTTCTTCATTCTACTAACTTTGGGTTTTGTTTTTTCTTCTTTTTCTAGTTCCTTTAGATGTAAATTAGGATAATTTGAGATTTTTCTTATTTCTTGATATAGGCCTGTATTGCTCTAAACTTTCCCTTTAGTACAACTTCTGCTGCATTCCATAGATTTTGTAACTTTTTTTGTGTGTGTGTGTATGTGTTGTTAATGTTCACCCAAGGATATTTTTTCCATTGAGTTAGAGAGAGTGGAAAGGAGGGAGAGGGAAGGAGAGAGAGAGAGAGAGAGAGAGAGAGAGAGAGAGAGAGAGAGAGAGAGAGAAACATTGATATGCGCTTGACCAAGAATAGAACCTGAGACCTTTTGGTGCATGGGTTGATGCTCTACCACTGAGCAACACCAGCCAGAACTGTAACATTGTTTTCATTTTAATTTGTCTCAAGATATTTTTTTTAAAATTTCCTCTTTGACTTCTTCTCTGACCCATTAGTTGTTTAGTAACATGTTCAGTCTCCATGTGTTTTTTCCAGTTTTCCTCTTATAATTGATTAGAGACTACCTTTTTGCAAACCTTGATTTGTTCTTTTATATGTTTGTCTTTTTAACGAATGTCATATGAATAGAACCATACAATACATAATTTTTTGAGAATTCTGCATATTGGTGAGAGGAAGTACCAGGCACCCAGTGGTTATACGTGGTTGGAGAAGGTGTTTGATATAATTTCAATCTTCTTGAATCTATTGACTTGTTTTGTGGCCTAACATGTGGTCTCTCCTGGAGAATGTTCATGTGTACTTAAAAATAATGTGTATTCTACTGTTTTGGGTTAGAATGTTTTGTACATGTCTATTAAGTCTATCTAATCTAATGTGTCACAAGGCCAATGTTTCTTTGTTGATTTTGTCTGTGCCTATCCATTAATGTAAGCGGGGTGTTTAATTATTATATTACCATCAACCTCTCCCTTTGTGTCTGTTAATATTTGCTGTGTGTATTTAGGTGAGCCTATCATGGGTGCATAGATGTTTATAAGTTTTATATCCTCTTGTTGGATTAATCCTTTGTCATTATGTCATACCCTTGTGTCTTGTTAGAGTCTTTGTTTTAAAGTCTATTTTGTCTAAGTCTTGCTACCCCAGCTTTCATCGCATTTCTGTTTGAATGCAGTATCTTTTTCTGTCCATTCACTTCAGTCTGTATCTTTAGATCTGAATTGAGCCTCGTGTAGGCAGCACACGAGGGGTCTTGTCTCTTTTAACCCATTTGTCAGAAGGACTGCACTTGCTCCAGAGGCTCTAGGGGAGAATTTGTTCCCTGACACTTCCAACTGGGGTGGGTGCCAGCATTTCTTGACTTGTGGATGCATCACTCCAATCTCTGCCTCCATAGTCTCCTGTCATCAAATCTCCCTTTGTCCCTGTCTTAAAAGTACACATGTGATTGCATTTAGGCTCCTATAATCCAGAATTATCTTTCCATGTCAAGGAAAGATAATTAAAAAGACAAAAACATAAAAGAACAAACCAAGGTTTGCAAGAAGGTAGTCATGGGGAATGTGTAATTACAAAATGACAGCATAAAGGAGTCTTGGGGAGTAATTAAACTCTTCTGAGTCATGACTGTGTGATAGTTACATGATCTATTAAAATTCAAAACTACAGTTATAACTGTATAGGAAAACAGTCAATTTTATATGACTTTTTAAAGTAAAAATGTCAAGATCCTTAATTATATCTTCAAAGATTTTTGTTGTTGTTGTTTTTGTGCATGTGTGTGTGTGTTTTCCATATAAAGCAACATTCACAGATTCCAGGGATTAGGACCTGATTTTTTTAAGCCGTATTTTTGCTATCATAGCTGACAAGGCTGGTGATTTTCTTTTCTAAATCCTGATTGGAACCTTCAAGGATCACCAACAAGCTAGGCTGATGGGGCAGGCAGGAGGGTATCTCTAGCATAACATGGTTGACACATTTAGTATAACATATATTGCATTATTATGTATTCCTTATTCTGAAAGCCTCTGAAATGTTTTTAAAACTATTTCTTTTTTTTCAATCTTTACCCAAGGATATTTTTCCATTGAATCTTAGAGAGAGTGGGAGAGAGAGGGAAATACAGAAAGAAATATTGATGTGAGAGAAACACATCAATTGGTTGCCTCCTGCATGAGCCCCTACCAGGGTCCAGGCAGGGGAGAAGAAGCCTGCAACCGAGGTACGTTCCCTTGACTGGAATTGAACCTGGGAACCTTCAGTCCTCAGGCAGATGCTCTAACCACTGAGCCAAACCAGCTAGAGCCATCAATCTTCCTTTTAATATAAAACTATACCATGTTTATCTTCAGTATAATTGTTACCATTATTAATGCAAAAGAAAGTGTGGGGTGGGGAGACTCTCAGCCAGTACATAGAAAATTTGACGTGACTCACAGCAACATCTGCACCAGGAAATCCTGTTTCCTGTTCTGGGGCAGCAGCAGCACACAGCTCAGCATTTCTTCTCTCCACCTGTCAGTCCCCTCACCTTGCAGAGCGCTGAAACAGAAGCTTAGTGGAAGAACTTGAACATGTCGGTCTCCGGTCTTCTGAGGGTGGTCATAACTTTCATGTGGCTAGGTAGGGTTGTCCCAGTGGGAATGGGTCTTCTCTGGACCTAACAGCAGCGGGTATAGGCAGTCTTTTATGAGTACCCTGGGGAGGAAAGCTGGCTGGGTGTTAAAAATATTCTTTTTGTCCCACATCACTTATCCCATAACCTTCTGTTTGTATTTTTTTTTCTCTCAGGGTCCAGTATTGCCCAGAAGGTAACTCAAGGCCAACAAGCAATACTGGTGCAGGAGAAGGAGGCTGTGAGCCTGGAGTGCACATATGACACCAGTGCTACAAGTTATAGTCTATTCTGGTACAAGCAGCTCACCGGTGGGGCGATGATTCTCCTCATTCGCCAGGACTCTTACAACCAGCAAAATGCCACAGGAGGCCGCTACTCACTGAACTTTCAGAAAGCAAAGAGTTCTGCCAACCTCATCATCTCAGCTTCCCAGCTGGAGGACTCAGCAGTGTATTTCTGTGCCCTGAGTGAGCCCACAGTGAGAGGCGTGTTAGGAGGAGGTGTACCAAAACCCCAGGCTCTGCTTCATGCATCCACCTGCTGGAGGGACACA